TATTTCATCATATTTGGAATGAAATTAAATTTCAAATAAAACAAATTACAAAAATAAATATAAAAATAGTATGTTTTATTTATATGGAATTAAAAACTATAAAATAAACCAACCAATAAATAAATATCACATGTTAATTTTATTTAGTAGAAAATGCTTTAATCATGGATTATTAGATGAGAAGCATCGAGAAGAGATTTGGTTGTTTATTTTTTTAAACTATTTTTGTCACATTCACAATTGAAGAGACGATCTTAAAGACTTGGAATAAGTGAGAATACATGTTCAAGTGCATATTTATTTGGATAATGTTATACATAGGGGAGTGATAATGGCACCCTTTTTGATGTTAGAATCAGGTCATTCAAGCATTAAGAATGTAAAAAACATGTATTAATATTGATGTATGTGAGGAAGAAATTCATGGATAGGAATGCATTAAGCAATGCATAGGGGTGTATTTAATCCACCCCTATACATATCTTTAATCTATGTGTCAAATCATCCTTGCATTCAAATATTAACGTATGTGTGACAGGAAATTAGTAAGTAAAAAATTCATTTCCCACCTATTAAAATCAAGTTAAATCATACATTAGTAGTAATATATAGTACAGATTGAATATAACCAACTGATTTCCTCAAATACATATGACTCGCTCTAATTCTCAAATGACATGGGATGCGAATACCACCCATTTAAAAATAATACTTTTTTTTTATTAACCTAGATATCTAACCAGCTATGCGAATCGATTAATCCTAAAACGACCACTAGATATCTAACCAGCTATACGAGTCGACTAATCCTAAGACGACCACTTGCTTTGCAGGTAGCCCGAAGTCACAACATTTAAACATCCGTAGTCATAAAAAGCTTTTTATTCCTCCTTAGATTTGAACCTCGGACCTCCAAAGATTTTTACCTTTGAAGTCCAAACTCAAACCAATCAAACACCACATTTGATTTTTGGGTACAAATTATGTTTAATTGATGTAAAGAAACATTATACATACACACATAATATCATATTTTTTTATCAATATTTGGTAGATTTTGAAAATATAAATGACACATGTCATTTGTTAAGTTATAATAAAGCTTTTTTGCTACACGTATAACGGGTGTTTGTGATAGCTTTTTTTTATTAAGAAGTAAACCTAAATAAAAAGTCAGCCACTAAACCGTTTAGAGGTAAACCTTGTTCGATAAAAAAAGTTTCTAAAACTATATGAATAATTTTATATCATGAGATTCATTAACCATTCATCACCCTAATTTCATTGTAAATAATTATATTATAAGAGCATCTTAATCATTCTACAACAAACCAGAGAAAAAACTCATCCAAAACTTATAAACAAATATAACAAATTTCGTTACATTTTAACCAATAAATGAAGTTCTTCTTTACATGGAAGAATGGTTAAAAATGGCATCACAAGGACAAGTAATCCAAAATCAAACAAATTTTATTAACATGTAAAAGGTTGTTACGGAGGTTTGAGAGTAAATATTGATTGATTTCATGATCCGCCATTAAAATTCAAATCAAACCTCACAAACTTATATTATACGATTAATTCATTGATCCATTGGATTTCATATCATCATCTACTACAATTTCAGTTAATTAATTAAAATTAGTACTAAAATCTATTGGAAGCTCGTACCTGGTGTGAAAATGGATAGATCAGGCCACCCATTCTCTCCTCCATTCCAACAGCTCGATTCTCCTCTTCCACCTCCATTTCCATTTCCATTTCCATTTCCACTTTCCTTCTGATCGTTGTTATCATTCAATCTCAAAAAACTGCTTCGAAATTCATCCGCAACAGGATTTCGGATCAACACATCATCATCGTCGGATTTACTCACTAGATTCGAACTCAAACCATCCATTAACAAATTTCCAAATGCTCCCATAGAACTCGATCCCAGCAACGAACTGAAGCTTCCACCACCATCACCTTCCATCTGTTGATTACCAAATCCGTAAACAATAGACGATGGTTCGGATTTCGGTTGTTGCTCAGCTGGAATTGGAGGTGGTGGCGCCATCGCCGGTGAAGTGCGTCTGTTCGGATTTGAAGATCGTTTGGTGATTTTGCGAGTCCCGCCACCGACGGGGATGTTGCGAAGTGTTCCGCCTTTAGTCCAATAACGACGACAGTTTTTACAGAAATGGCGAGGCTGTGAGAGATTGTAGTTGTTGTAGTAACAGAATTTTGTGTTGCTGGATTGGCACCGCGGACATTTGAGATGATGCTCGTGGTCTGGGAATTTAGGGTTCATATGATCCATCGGAGATGAAAACGCCGTCGATGATGGGTGTCGATGCATTGATACTTTTGGTTCCAAAATAAAAAATTCCGGTGGCTTCCGGTGGCGGCGATTGAGAGGAAGAAAACAGAAATCAGAGAAGAATCCAGAGAGATCGATGGAGGTCGATATTTGAAGATCAAGTGTGCGTGAAGATGACGAGCACCACACGACACCCACTCACTCTTTCTCTTTCTCTTTCTCTTTCAGAGATATGTGTTTTTAACTTATTATCCAAGCACTTACTGGTCTATTTCCGAATGGAATTTTGCATGAAGTCAATTATAAAACACAAATTAAATTAAAAAATAACGTATTTTGACTTGATTTTTATTTTGTATAATGTATTTTTAAAATTTTCATTTTGGTATATAAGATGTAAAATTTTAAATATTTAAGTATCCGGGTAACCGGTTGAAGTATTAATCAAATCATGTTCATCTGAGGAATGATATGGTATCCAACTCAATATTATTTGTTGATGTGGTTGGTGACATAGATTTTTTAATTTAAAATTAGGCTTCAACCGGTTACCTGAGTACTTCAATGTTTTAAAATTTACATTTTAGATACAAAAATAGAAGTTTTGAATGTACGTTATAATATGAATCATGTTAAAGTATTGTACTTTTTCATACAATTTGCCCATGATACATGTTATTATTGAGTTTTTGGACAAAAACCTTGATTTTCAGTACGAAGTTTGAGAGAAGTGACATTTTTCTTATTTTTTATTTTGTAATTATTAATATATATTAATATAATAATAATTGATGTTTAAAGTAATAGGACTTACAAAAAGAAGGTTCTTGTAAGAACTACCATTGTCGACTTTTAAGATGGTTCTTAATTTGATGAATTGAAAAACTGAAATCCATGAATTAGGGGAAATTGTGAAGGTGTCATTTGGTATTCTAGGTTGAATTTGAGTTTTTCTATCTGGTAAGCACTTACCGTTAAAATTCAACAATATCACATATTTACCAGGTAAGATTTTAGTCCATCAAAACGATATTGTACGAAACAATTGACCGGTAAGCACTAATCGTGGTAAGAGTCATCGTCCTCACTTAACGGGTAAGATTCTAGGTCCTTATGTTCGCTCTTACCGGATAAGATTCATGGTCTTTATCGTATTCATCCGGTAAGATAATGTAACTCAGTAAGTATTTACCCGTGTAAGCATTTAGTAAACGGCAATGTGCAAGAAAGAAGGGAGACTTGCATAGGTAGTGACATTGGGATAAATCACGTTATATATTAGTCTTCAACTGGTTAACTTGATTCTTATTTTGGGTAACTTACTTTGAAAACTTTCATTTTGGTATCTAGGATGTAAAGTTTTAAACATTTAATTATCCGGGTAACCGATTGATAACTAATTTTAGATTAAAAAAGATTAATTTTAGATTAAAAAAATTCATTGCAATAACCACATCAGCAAAATAATATTGAGTTAGATACCACATTATTCGTCACATCAACATAATAAACGGTTAATGTTTTAATCAGTTACATGAGTATTTAAATATTTAAAATTTTACATTTTAGATACCAAAATAAAAATTTTGAAAATACGTTATCAAAAATAGAAATCAAGTTAAAATTAGTTACATTTTCATGCCATTTATTCTTAAAATAAAGCATGTATATAATCAATTTTTAGAAATTGGATGTTTTAACTATTTAAAAAGGCTTAATTATTAAAACAAGAAAATTTAATGATTTTTATATTTAAAAATTTAATGAATTAAAAAAAAATTAATAATTTTTTAATATAAAAAAATAGTTTAAAAACCTAATTAATTCGTACGGTTTCGTAAATACTTATCCATTTAAGAATGGCGACGCTTCGGAAGCTAAAAAAAAGGCGTCCGCCGCCGCATAGATTATTGCGTCGGAACAAAGCTGTATAACAATAATGAGATGCAGATAAATGATCCTGACCGTTCATTTGTGGCTTATGGACCAACGTGACGTGAAGATCAAGTCAAACCATAAACGTGGCTCAACCCCACGCTTTTCAGTCACTGACACCACTTCATTATCCTCTCCATAATTTTGGATTTAGAAACTCTTTTACTATTTTTTTTATATTAAAAAATAATAAAAATTATTCATTAAAAATATAAACAATAAATTTTAATAAAGATATGATGATAGAGATAAATATATCATATGATAGA